TTTTTTTTTTTTTTTTGAAAGAACAGAACACAATAACTGGGGAGCAATTTGCCCTTATTATATTTAATGGAACATTCTATCGATTAGATCTAATAGGATATAATTTTATAGAATGGGAACAAAAATATCGTGTGTTTATTTTAGATGCAGAAGCCCATCAACCATAAATATTTTATTGGCATCCATGGCAGATGAGCCATTGGAGGTAATTCAGGCAGTTTTGTAAACAAAAGAAAATAAAAACATTGTACCAAACAGCAGAATTACGGGGGGGAAGGAAGGTCTGAAATCTTTCAGTCATTTTTACACTCATTTTCTGCAAAGCAGATCCAGTTATTAGGTAAATCAATGTAAGATGTGTGGCTATTTTAAAAAGAAATTACATTTTTTTCAAAGCTAAAAATCCTGAGCCTGATGGCACTGAGAGTTGGCAGTGAGCATGAGGTGTGGTAGGAACAAGATACACTTCCTCACTCCCTAAAACAGCATCAATTCTTGTTTCCAGCCCCTCAAAAATACAGAAAAGCAGATCTTGGGAATCCCAACCGAAAGAAGTTTAAGTTGGATGCTTTCATAACGTTTCCAGGGAACTACTGGGAACATCATTCTTAGTTTTGAGCATTTCCACTCTGGGGAATCTGTCACTGATCATCAAATCCCAGACTGGTTTGGGTTGGAAGGGACCTTAAGGATCATTTCATCCCACTCCCTGCCATGAGCAGGGACACCTTCCACTAGCCCAGGTTGCTCCAACCTGGCCTTGGACACTCCCAGGGATGGGGCAGCTTCTTTACCTTATCTGAGGCTGGGACAAGGCAAACCAGGGCAAAATTAATGTCACCCCCCAGCCAAATGTGCACTTTCCTTGTTAAATTGAACAGCCCATATAAATAAAATACTGAGGAATATTTGATGTCTAAGAATCTGAACATACAGCTCTGGAAGTTATTTATTACAAAATATGAATTCCAAATACAAGGAGGAACAGAGGGAAGCAGGAATTTTTAGTGCCTGTTTCCAGCTGGCCATCCCCAAAACACACCACTGTCCCCTTCCCAATCCATCCACTCATCTGAACATGAATGTCCTCTAAACACATTAGGAATGATGGATTCATTTTGTCTCTGCAGCACCTGATATCCAAGAGAGCCCTCCTTCCCCTCTCACCCTCCCCAGCCTCTCCTTCCCCTCACTCCCATTAAAACACTGCTCAAACTATGCACCAGTACAGAACACATGACCTAAATTTTAAGATCCATATGAATTACTACATCCCACAGGACTGGGAATGTAACATAAGCTGCCTGAGATCACACAATAAACCAATACAACCCCCAGAAGCACAAGTTCCCTCTGTTTCTAGATCTGAGCCATCTTAAAAGTGCACCCTCAAAAAACTTGAAGGGTGGTTCCATACTATAAACTGTTCATAGTTTAGAATGTAAAATATATACTGCCAGATATAAAACAGGAATTGCCAAATTTTAATGTTTGATTTGAGTTCTCACAGCTGAGAGCAGAGGTCCCACTGCACTCACTACAAACCACTGCCAAGACAAAAAACACTCCAGTGCCTTTAAACTGACAGAGGGCAGGTTTAGATGAGATTCTGGGAAGGAATTCCTCCCTGGGAGGGTGGGGAGGCCCTGGCACAGGTTGCCCAGAGAAGCTGTGGCTGCCCCATCCCTGGAATTGTCCAAGGCCAGGTTGGAGCAACCTGGGTTAGTGGAAGGTGTCCCTGCACATGGCAGGGCATGGAACTGGATGGCCTTTAAGGTCCCTTCCAACCCAAACTGTTCCATGATTCTGCCATTCCTTCTCCAAGATTCTCTCTCTTCCTTGAAAGGCAAAGATGCCAAAGAAAAGGAGATGTGTTATTCCCTATTCCTGTGCAACATCCCCCCTCCCTGCCTGGGCTCTCTCTGAAATAAATAAGCCACATTCCTCCCTGTGAATCAACTGAAGTCAGTTTGTTTACACCAAAGATTAATTTGGCCTTTTTACACAAACGAACAAAAACCAGGAAATTCAAAGCCAGAGCCTCAGTGCTGCCAGAACGTGGGTTTAGCCTTTAATAAGCTGAGCCTTTATCACTCTGCAAACCATGTTCCAAAGGCAGATAAGCACCAGGAAAGTGCACAGCAGGACACGGCCTGAGAGCCAGTCAATAGAGATCCCATTATTAACCTGTCAATACCCAGCTGTCCCAGCAGCACAACAACTGCTGATACACGGGGGGGGCTCAAGGGAGAGTTAACCCTCCTGGGTCAGGAATCTGCCCTTGCTGATGCAAACAGGATTTTTCCAAGGGAAAGGATTAGCACACACCTAATGCCACCCTCGTGCCAACACAAACGCTGTGTGACAGGAGGAAGGGCTGCCACAGTGAGGGGAATGTTCAGTGCAAATAGGATCAAAAATGAAGAAAAACGTGAGTTACGGTGAGGTTGAAGGGTAGAGAATGATGGAAAAAGTAAAAACTCTTCCCTGGGAGGGTGGGGTTGCCCAGAGAAGCTGTGGCTGCCCCATCCCTGGAAGTATCCAAAGCCAGGTTGGAGCAACCTGGGCTAGTGGAAGGTGTTCCTGCCCATGGCACAGGGTGGAATAAGAAGAGCTTTAAGGTGCCTTCCAATCTAAAGTGTTCTGTGATCCTGTGAAAATGCAGAAGAGCTGGATGTGTGGGAGATGGGATGGACAGAAACACCAGTGCCAAGAGCTGTGGCAAAGCAGCACATGGAGATTTAAAGCCACTTTCTGTGGGAGGGAAAAGAGAAGGTCTAAAAACACAGGAGAGAAATCTTTGGAATAAATGCACACCAGAGAGTCAGGTCACAGCTGAGAGTAAGAAATGGGCTGTCTCCTGCATGATGAACACTGCAATTCATTTACTCCACTGAGGAATGACAGCTAATTATTCCAAATTTCCACGTCATAAATAATTTACGTGCAAGAGCCTGTAATATGCCATCAATCAGGGAGCATGGAAACTGCATTCCTGAAAATGATGCCATACCCACAAATGGACTGAAAAGTCCCTGCTTCAACAGGGAGACCTGGTACAAGCTTAAAGAACAGGACGTACCTGTAACCACTGCAATGCTTTGGTACCTCAGCCCCTATCACAGTAACTTAAAACAGTACAAACATATTAAAAAAATCAAACAATAATCAGGGATAAACCCTACCCCCTCTTTCCTCCATTACCTTCATCTATTCACTTCAACTGTCCTCAACCTTCACATCATTCCTTCTGTCCTTTTCCATCTTTTTCAGCCACAAAGGTCACCTCTCCAATTTTACCCAGGACTGCATCAACTCCATCATTCCAAAGTCATCAGATCCAACACCAGCACCTTTTGGTCACCCTCAGTTTATCTTCCTGAATGCAGCTGCTCACCTCCAAAGCAGACACAGACACAGCTCCTCCACTGACTCCTCGTGCTCCAAATTCCTACAAAGAATCCTAGAATTCCCCACTGTGGTTCAGGAGTGTGTTTCTCCACACAATTGTGTCCAATTTAAATTTCCTTTGTACTTCACACCCCACCCCACTGCTGCTGCTGGAAGTACCTCTGCCCCTACAGTCTGCCCTCCAAATTAATTGTTTCATCTTTATAATCTAGTTTATAACCCTAAAACTTTCCAAGTGGAGGGCTTAAAGCCAGGCTTTGACATTGGAGCTACAAGCCAGGCTCTGGCTAACATCAACATAAGGAATATGTGCCTGTAAATCATCCCAACACTGGACTGTGTAAGTCAAGGTACTTCATACAAACATTCTCTACCTCCCCTGAGACAGAAGGAAAACAGGAGGTGCAAATGGAACACAACAGTGAACAAATCAAACAAAATTCCTTTCCAGAGCTCAAGGAGTGTTTGGACAATGCTCTCAGGCACAGGGTGGGATTCTCGGGGTTATTCTTTGCAGAGCCAGGGCCTGGACTTTGATGATCCTTGTGAGTCCCTTCCAAGTCAGGATATTCTATGATTCCATGAAAATATTAAGTTTTAATTCAGGAATGAAAGAGAAAAGTGTGCAGCAGGTCCCTGCAGAGGCCCAGCCAACACTTTTGAGCAGAATGAAGCAACAGATTTCAACGTACGGTGACAGTGCCCTGGCTCTGCAAGACTGCAGGGCAGCCAAAGAAGGGTTAAAGAATTAAGCCATGTTTCCTTGTGAGGCTCCATTAAGCAATACAAGTGAGTCCTGTGTAAAAGGATTTTAAGTTCAGCGTTACAAGTGCTGGTAATGAAGAGGATGCAGGCTGGAAATGTCAGTTGATCCATAAAGAAGCGCCGCGGCAAAGATTTATCGCCCTCGCATCGCTCTGCTCCAGCACCCCTCCTGAATAATGAATGCTTTTTACGTTCACATTTGTGTACAAAACCCATTTGCACAACAGAGAAATAACTCTGGAGGTAGGGATGGATCCTTCCTAATCCCTCAGCCGGGCTCCCTGCACTAAAGAGCAGCTCTGCTAAGGAATCCATCAGTGCTATCCCATGTATCACCACTCCAGCACCTTCCCTGTCCCACACTGTGTCACCCAGCTGACTTCTGCACCAAAAAAAGCAGCAAAAGCACAATTTATTTTGCAATAACACAGTGTAGTGATGGAGCATTAACTAACATTAAGATTAATTGCTCTGAGCCTGTGAATCATCCATTACTAATCCCTGGGATGAGGCCACGTAGCTGAATAACAACTTGTAGCTGGACTGGTATTAAAATCTTCCCAGTCTTGCCTTGCAGTCAGGGTCACAAAATGTTTATTCATTTCTACAGGAGATTTCTTGATAGAAAAAGAGAAATATTGTAAAGAAAGATGAATCAATTCAGAGATGAACAAGTCAGCTTCTCTCTAGTCACCATATCCCTTCACAGTCCCGCTGTGCAGTACTTGGAGTAAATGAAGTTTTCAGGCAGTTTACACCTGACTGCAGGTGGGGAAGGGTCCTGGGCTCTGCCCAGGGTATGAGCACATTCCCAGAGAGTAAAGGCACATCTGGAACTCACAAGCTGTTTGTGTGGCAAAGCACTGAGACAGTGCTCAGCAGATATCAAATGCTGCAGCTTCCCACAGCTTTTGTTTGGAAATAAGAGCGAGATCACCTCCAACCTCAGCTACTTTATGAACCCACACAACGTTTTTCTGTCTAGTTACAGCTTTTTCCTTTGGCTCTTGTTCCCAAACACTCTCCCCAGGTAAGAGACACCCACCAGTTTCCATCTCTGCTCTGGAATAGCGCTGATATCCACAGGATGACGCTCTATTACATTGAGGAAACGGGCCTCGGGGACAGCAATAGCACAGATTACATGGACCCACCTGGGGAACAAAGCAAAGAGACAAATCAGAGTCTGCCATTACTTGAATTAAATGCTCAGGAGGGCAGTTAACATTTCCCTGCCTCCCTCAGCATCAAGGCATATTTATATGGGTTGGCAGCCTTGGCAACGTTACCGACTGTTAATTACGGTCGCACGAGGTAAATGTCTCTGCAACAACAGGGATCAACCTGCTCGTGCATCTGATTTTGCAGGATACTAAACATTCTCTGAGAAGACTTTTCTCTGAGAAACAACCATGACCAACAAGTGCTCAGAACTTCTGCTATGGAGCACCTGGTGTGGTGTAAGACAGCACAGGCACTCAGGGTTGTCCTGCCAAGTACAGAGCTGTCACCTCCAGAACACTAAACCTCGCTGGTACACTGAGCATTAAGACCCAATTCACAACAGCAGGAGATTGGATGGCATGTGGGAGGAAAATATCCCAAAATACAACACTCACCGCCCATCAGTGGTCATCTGAAGAGCTCCTCCCCTGAGATTGCACAGGCAACATTCCTGCAGGAACACAACTCCTTCAGGACCGGACGGGAAAGCTCGGCCCATCTCCCCCCAGAAATGACTACACCCCATCTGGGATGTCCCAGGCACACTGAACCCTCCCACCACCCATCTCTGGAGAAGTATCTGGCTGGGCCCAGAGAGTGGTGGTGAACGGGGCTGCATCCAGTTGGGATCCAGTCACCAGTGGTGTCCCCCAGGGATCAGTGTTGGGCCCAGTTCTGTTTAATATCTTTATTGATGATTTAGATAAGGGGATTGAGTCCATCATCAGCAAATTTGCAGATGACACTAAGCTGGGGGGAGTGTCCATCAGCTGGAAGGCAGGAGGGCTCTGCAGAGGGACCTGGAGAGGTTGGAGAGTTGGGCTGATTCCAACGGGATGAGGTTCAAGCAGGCCAAGGGCCGGGTCCTGCACTTTGGCCACAACAACCCCCGGCAGCTCCAGGCTGGGCCAGAGGGGCTGGAGAGCAGCCAGGCAGGAAGGGAGCTGGGAGTGGGGATGGACAGGGAGCTGAACAGGAGCCAGAGTGTGCCCAGGGGGACAAGAAGGCCAATGGATCCTGGCCTGGAGCAGGAACAGTTTGGCCAACAGGTCCAAGGAAGTGATTCTTGCCCTGGACTCAGCGCTGGTGAGGCCACCCCTGGAGTGCTGTGTCCAGTTCTGGGCCCTCAGCTCAGGAAGGACATGGAGGGGCTGGAGCAGGTCCAGAGGAGAGCAACGAGGCTGGGGAAGGGACTGGAGCACAAGTGCTGTGAGGAGAGGCTGAGGGAGCTGGGGCTGTTCAGCCTGGACAAGAGGAGGCTCAGGGGAGACCTCCTCACTCTCTGCAACTCCCTGACAGGAGGGGGGAGCCGGGGGGGGTTGGTCTCTTTTCCCATCAGCAAGACAAGAGGGCTGGGTCTGAAGCTGTGCCAGGGGAGGGTTAGGTTGGATATTAGGAAGAATTTCTTTCCAGAGAGGGTGCTCAGCCATTGGAATGGGCTGCCCAGGGAAGGGGTGGATTCTCCATCCCTGGAGGTTTTTAAGCTGAGACTGGATGTGGCATCAGTGCCATGGGCTGGGAACCACAGCGGGGTTGGATTGATGATCTCAGAGGTCCTTTCCAACCCAGCTGATTCTATGATTCTATGATTCTATGACTCCCAGAGTATCCCGTGGGAATCGTGTGGTCTCCAGAGGGGCAGGTCCTTACCGCTGCCCACGCGTTGGCTGAGCACCGCGAGCAAGACCAGCTCTCGTTCACCAGGTCTGGACGAATTCCGTAACAGCCTGAAAGAAAACAGTTATACCCTCATCAGGTCAGAGTCTTCCCACCATATCTGTGGTATTGACTTGTTGACTTTTCAGTTAGAAGCATCTCTGAGAGCAGGTGCAGCATTTGGATGGTTATATTCAATAGGCTCAGACTAAAGTCTGAGGGGGCAGAATTTGGGACCAGCGGGTCTAAAAATAAACAAAAACCCCACATATAGGAAACTCTCAACATTTTTTTTTTACTTTTCTAAGGATTACAATAACAGGACTTTGATCCTTCAGGCAGGAACTGGGCTCCAACGTGATGCTATCGCTGCTGGAAGGCACTCACACAGCAAAACAGGTAAGGCCACTGAGTTTTGGCAAGGTTGAAGCAATTCTCTTTGCTACATGGTGTTATGAGGAAGGACAAACCAATAATACTGCAAGGAAATTAAATACCTGCATTTCACATATTTAACAGTATTTAATTTAGGGTTATATAAAGTGTTAGAAACATCTGATTTTACAGAGCATCAACTACTGTAACATGCAAGCACCAAATCCTCCTACAGCAACACCAAAATAGTAAAGTGGCATTAAAGCCATAATAAAGACAGAGAGATAAGAACAAAAAAGTCCCTAAAATTCTGGAAAAGGCACTGAGGTTTGTCACTGAAAACAATGGGGAAAAGACACAGAAACAGTTTTGAAAAAGTGGATCTATGTGATTCCTGCAAGCTTGTAAAGCAAGTGGAAAATTAAATACTAGCATCCCAAATAACACACAGCTCATCCCACCCAGCCTTTACCTATCCTACCAAAACCCCATCCAGCCTTCACCTATCCTGAAAAGCTGAACAGAAAGTTTCAGCTGGGAACAACAATCTCAAATTACCGAATTAAACTTAAACAAAGTCATTCAGAAAGCACTGGGATTGCCACCATAACCTGATTTATAAATATCATCCACTTAGCCAGATAAACAGCATGTCAAAAAAAGTCAATACTATGGATCTGCAGCTGTTCTCCACAGCTGAGATCTCTTTTCATCATATGGCAAACCAGGAAAGCAGATTCCACCCAGTCCTAGAACATGGGCAGGGTGTTCAGTCCAAAAACTGAGCTGGGACAGAAGCAGACACTGAGCTGGAATAGTGCTGGACCTCACAGAGGTGGGGAGCAGGCTGGGATTTCAGCATGGATTTCTTGCTCCAGGGCCACAGGCAGCTGGAATATGGGATCTGGGAAAAGGAGACTGAGGGGAGACCTTATTGCTCTCCACAACTCCCTGGCAGGAGGTTGGAGCCACGAGGGGGGTCGGGCTCTTCTTCCACATAAAAAGCAACGGGATGAGAAGAAACAACCTCAAGCTGTGCCAGGGGAGGTTTAGAGTGAAAATTAGGAAAAATTTCTTTATGGAAAGGGTTGTGAAGCATTGGCACAGGCTGCCCAGGGCAGTGGTGGAGTCACCATCCCTGGAGGTGTTCAAACAGTGTGTGGATGTGGCACTTGAGGACACGGTTTCATGGTGAACCCGGTGGTGGTGATGGGGTGACTGTGGGACTTGATGATCTTAAAGGTCTTTTCCAATTTTAATGATTCTATGAGGGGAGAACAATCAGATTTACTGAGCCCCAGACTGTCTCATAAGGACAATCCTAACAGACCAAGAAAAATATGCTCTTTTTATGGATTTTGTCAACGCCTCAAAAGCCCAGAAACCTTCACAAAACCTTCCCCCTCCGTCTGTTCCGGCTGCTGCACAGTTTGGGAGGACACTTCTCAAGAACACTCAGGCTGCCAACTGGTTTTACAGCACAGATTAGCCAAAATACACCCCTCAACACTGCAATCCTGCAATAAAAGCAAATGGATCCTCTGCAGCAAAGTCAAAGGCACGGCACAGACTCGGAGCACAAACAAGGAAACAGGAATTCACTGGAGACTCCAGCAGATTTAAGGTCCGTCCTGTCCTCAAGGGGAAAGCACAGCCAAAATAAAAAGCTGCTTTTCTCTATACCTTGAGTGTGCAGATTAACATCATCTTGCCCACATCCCTCTGTCCCTAAATAGAATTTGGCCACTGAAACCATTTTGATAGGCTGGACTATTGCAGACATATGGATGGACAAGATGCAGCATCTCTGATTGCAACAGAGGCCACAATTTGGGAAGGAAGGAACATCCTCACTGTGCTTATTAGCCAGGAATGACCATAATCAGGGATTCAGCACAGAAATAAAAGTTGCCTTCCAGTTCTCCACCAGAGCCAGCCCTGCTGAGCTGCGTGGGGACCTGCAGGCTCTAAAATTGGAACAACAAAAGTAATTCCAGCTGATGCAAGTCAAATAAGATTCCCCATCTGTCAAGATCAAACAGCTGAGCAGGAATTTGTCACATCTCCTACGAGCCCAAATGTTAACTGGATGTTGTACAATCCACACTGAAGGTACACACTCCACCAGGATTAATCAGATCTCCTTTTAGACATAACTATCAGGGAAGCAAACAGACATATGTTCCCTCTTGTAATCAAGTGCCATTACTACAAACAGTATCACAGACACTAATAAAATGTATCTCCAGCTCCTCCATAATCTCTGCTGCACGCAGGAACAATACAGCCTCACCCAGCAGAGCAATTTTGGGAGGAAATATTTGAGAGGAAACAGTGCAATAAGCCTTGGGAGCTCTGCTTTATTACAGAAAATGAAAGATATCGAAAGAAAGAATCTTTTCTGTGAGACAGAAAAAGGATCAGCCAAAAAACAACCCCTGAAAAGAATATTGGTGTGTATTTTTAAGATCAGTGACTGCCAAGGTGGACTTGAATATAAAGATATTCCTTCTAGTGGAAGGTGTTCCTGCCCGTGGCAGGGGGTTGGAAGTGGATGGTTTTTAAGGTTCTTTCCAACCCAAACCATTCTGTGATTCCAAGATACACTTGCACCAGAAAAGTTAAAAAAAATAGGAGTGACAGGTGTAGCAACCCTGGAATTCAAATACAGGCCACACACAAATAAACTCAGGAGCTTCCCAATGCCCCAAAGGCTTTGGGAAGGAGGGAACACTCACTAGCATGGACCTGCAGGCAGCATTTGGCACAGGATATCAAGGGACTGGTTCCATCCTCTCCAATATAGGAATTTGAAGGAAGGGGCTCCGTGTTTTCCCCACTTGAGGTAAAGCACATCTCTGGGATCAGGGGCTTGGTCTTCTGTCCACACTTGGAAAGGTGGATGAAAGAGGACGGTTCCCCTCCGGACACCGGGACAGCTTCCTTATCCACCTGTAAGGACTTGGAAAGGAAATGTCAGCACATGGAATCACCTCTGCCCTGGGCACAGTTTAAACTTTCAAGGCTGAGCACTCCCCTTGCAAAAAACCCACCAAGCACCTGCCAGCAGACAGCCAAAAACTGAGCCTTAAAACCCAATTCCCAGGCACAGCCCACCCCTGCCTTGCTCCTCCTCCTGAGGCCTCTCCTGGGACCTGTAATTTGGCTGGAAAAGCTCAGAGAAGCTTTAGAATAATGAGCAGCTTTTCCTGGTTTTCCTCTGTAAAAAAATCTGAATTCCTAAATTGTGGCTGAAAACACCGAGGAAAAATAAAAAGGAAAATCTTATTTAAAGCAAGACCTTCCCTCCCCCTCTCCCACCCCTCTGGCATCCTTCCCTACTCTTCCTGCAAGAACTCCTCCTGAAGGATATTTCAAGGTTTCTGGTAGCAGGCAGAGTTAAAAGCAATGGATTAAACCAGCCCAGCTGCACCCAGTTTTCCTCAGAACCATCAAACAACACCCAGCAATCAGAACAGATATTTTATTTTCTGTCTCTATAATAAATCAAAGAGATTTTATTGAAGGGGGGGGGAGGTGGGTCCTGCTTTTTCTCAGAAAAAGCTCCCAACACATATCCAAGGAATCTAAGGCACATATTCCTGGTGGACACACAAAGCCAAATCTGGCTTTCTGTGAGAACATATCAATACACAACTGAGCAAATGACTAATTCATCTGATGAATTTTTGCCTTTCTGCTCATAACATCTCCCAGAGCACACTGGTAGTTTCCAAAAGAGATGATGGATGTGCTTGCTCAGTAAATTATGATTTTGTTGCTTGTTTGCATATATTCAGCAGTCTGGGCCTGTGCTGAAACACCAGCAATCATGTGCCTGATGTGCAGAGTTTTCTGCACATGAAACAAGTGTTTGCAAAGCTCTTCAAATGTGTGATTTTAAAAAATGAACACTGAGAAAGCCAGAGAAGCCAGGAAAAAAAAAAAACAAACACAAAAAAAACCCCCAAAAGGCTGTGCCAAATCCAAACACTTTCCTTTGGGGTGCAAATTTGTAGGGGTCTCTTTATTATAAATGTCTACATCCTAATTCATCCATCTGAGCAGTATCAGAGGTTTAGATTAGATACTAGGAAAAATTTCTTTATGAGAAGCATGGTTAGGTATTGGAACAGGCTGGAGTCTCCAGCCCTGGAAGCATTCAAAAAACATGGGAATAAGGCACTGGATTTAGTGGTGAACGTGGGGCTGGGGCTGGACTGACAGCTGGACTTAATCTTAGAGGTCTTCTCCAAGTTTAATGATCCCAAGTGAGGAATTACCTGGTTGTAGGGGTAGAAGAGGGTGCAGACAGCACAGTATGGCTCACTCAGGGCAGCAGCTGCATTGAATTTTCTTTCAGCTGGGAAATTAAGTGCTTTATTCTTCCACTGGAAGGAAAGTAAAGATTTCAAAGCCTCTGGATCGCTCATATCTTCCTCTCCAGAAAATGGAAACGTTTCTAGAATGAAAGGAAAAAAATCCCAAAACAATGGACAGTCAGGAGAGGTTTATAGATAGAACAGGTGAAATGGCAGCAAGGTTGAGTTAAACAGCTCATTCTCAACAATACAAGTGCAATAAATAAAAATATTCATTCATGGTTCCTCATATGCCTTAAATACTTCCTAAATGGATGTAATTCCTACTGTATGGGTAGGATGGACAAGAGAGGGACAGAGATGACTTAATGGAACTGGCCATGAGAAGGAGGAAGAAGAAAATCTGGATTTACTGCCCTCACAACTCCACTTTCTGGCTGTGGAAACACATGATGTGCCCCTTTGCTCTCTCCAAGTGGGAGCTGCATTCTCTGGAAGATGTGGATGCAGTTGGTGCTGGTTTGGTCAGGACAGTTCCCAATTCCCACCACTCAGTGTGTTCCAACCTTCCCAAGGTGCCTCCTGTGCCTGTTCACCAACACAAACCTTGGCTCTGGGATATCCTGGGTTCAGGTGTTCCTTTCACAGCCATTCCATGGAGGACACACCACTAAACCCTCCCTTTGCTCTCCCCACCATCCCTCCCTCTGCCAGAGCTCTGCCAGGTCCTGCTCCTGCTAATTGGTTTGCTAATTCTTGCTTTTCATAAACCTTTAAAAGGCCCTTGGCCTTTCAGGATTAAACCACTGCAGGATCCATTTGGGGGGCCAAGTTTCTTACCCTTCCTTAAGGAAGGAAATTTGAGTCACTGCAAGTGTTAAAGAAATTTTCCACACAAGCCTAAGTGTAAATCAGTCCCTGCATCACCAATCTGCAAAGTTTCCAAGAGAACAGGGAAGTCAAAAACATCTTGGTAGAACATTATCCCCAGAGCTCAGCACATTAAACCAAATTGTTCACTGCCTCACTGTTAATTACTAGAAATAAGCAGTTAATGTTCTGCTCTACAGGTCTTAAGTCTCCTCCCCAATTCTCCCTCCCTTTGAAGATTTTCTGACTCTCAGGTTACCTGAAAGGATAAAAGGAACTTGGAGTAAAACATTAACAGCTGAGTTCACATCTCAGATTTTAAATGTTCCCCTCGACTAATCTAATACAGAATTGCCAGACAATGTGGAAATTTGATTATGTTTAATTAATCACTCCTCTTTGTGAGGTGATGGATGCTGTCTGTGTGGCTCTGTCATACTTCAAACCAAGGTTACTTCCTAAAAAGTGCCTTTTCTTTTTAAGACATGAGTCAAAAACCTCATGTTTCTCCAAAGTTGAGTTGAGGCACATCAGGTGACAGGCAGGGATTTATGATACCAGTGAAATCAATGCAAGCAGCATCCTAATCCAGAGTGACAGAGGGAGAGGAAAAGGGAATGACTGCTGTGTGTTATCACCTTCTCTCCTCCCAGGATGGACCCTGGGGGACACACAGCTCCCACACTGCAAGTAAGGAGGGACAAACAATTTGTCTGGACTGATTCTTAGTGTATTATGTGCTTAATTTACATGCTCACTGTTCCTCTTGCAGCCTCCAGATCATCCTGGTACATCATTCCCTGAAAAAGCAGGGAGTGCAGAGAGCTGCTTCTATTCCCTGGTGGGGAGGGAAGACTCTGTTTGATCAGACTGTGCCCAGCAGGGCTGTAAATCAGCCCCCAGGAAATGCTCCTGCTCCAGCAGCCAAGTCCCCAAACACCATCCAACAAAAGCCAAGGCACTGGGAAGAATCTGCCTAATGAGGAGCCTCCAGCACAAAGTTGGCTGCAAGGTCTCACACCAGGAGAAGGTAACGAGTCTCTGCTGCCCCTCAGCTCTTCACTCCACCTCACACACCCCAAGACATCAAAAGCATCCTCCTTGGTGAGGAAAGGTGTGTTCAGGGCAACCCCTTCCTGCAGGAAGCTTCTCCAAAACCAAGGGATGTATTCTCTGAAGGGAAGTGAACAGGGAAGGTATTGTCCTTTGGAATGAGGAGCTGTGAGTAGGGACTGGCAGCTACACCCACAGCCCTGCCCCAACACACAGAATTTACTGTGGCCTTGTCTATATTCATGGGGAAAGACCCAAAAGTGGGAAATTACACCACAAAACAGAGTGAGAGGTAGGAGTCTTTTTTTTCCCCTTGGTCCAGACTGTTGGGGCATTCACAGGGACTGGAATGTGGGAAAAGAAGGATCGGTGATGTGCAGTTAAGCACTGACAGACTTGAATTCTCATTTCTGCATCTGCCAAGAAAAGTTGGGCCCCAACACTGACATGAATTAAAAGCCTTTAAAAGGTTAGAATTAACTCTCCCCCCACACACAGGAGCAGGCCTGACCTCCACTGCCTTCCAAGGGGAACAGATCTCATTCCGCTCCAATATCCAACACGGAGCTTTTCCTTTAAGATGCAGTTTTCTGTGAACTCTCTTTTCCCTTTGCCCAAAATGCTGCCTGACTCTGCAGCCAGCAAAATATTTTTCTTGAGAGAAAAAAAAAAAAGGGTGGGAGGTGAGAAGGGAACACCTCCCACGGAGGAGTTTTGTTTCCAGCTGGGTCATCAAAACGGGAACACGCTGCATTTTCCACCAGTGAAGTGTAACACACAAAGTTTCAGGGCACCCAGCTATGGTAATGGCTTCAGGAATTTCGTGGATCAGGCAAGACAAACATTCCTGGTGGTGCTCACTCACCCTCATCACTTGAGGTCTCCTGTTTGACCACGGACAGCGGGGAGCGGGTCGGGGGTTTGCCCAGGGGGTGACGACGACTCTTTTTGATCTCCATCTTCATTTTGGAGAAAGCAGAAGCAGTCTGGAAGGAAGCAGAACAGGCTGGATGGGCCTCCCAAAGGAGAAAACAGGACAAGAGAGGCAGAACTCTTGTCAAAAAGGGTTCTGAAATCCACTCAGCAAACTTTTCAGTGCCTTTTGGCTGAAACGCTTCAGTTTTCTGAGCCAATTCCTGTAGCTGATAAAAGCCAACACTAACTCTCCAGAAGTTGGGTAAACTACAGAGTTTTCTTCCAGTCAGAACAGGCTCAGAACATCTGCAAGCTGCCAATTCAATTTGCTAATGAAAAGTCTGGTCAATCACATTCACAGCTGGGAACTCCATGAAAATTATGGATCATCAAATCCCAGAATGGGTTGAGTTGGAAGGGACTTTAAAACCCATCCAGTCCCACCCCCTGCCATGGGCAGGGACACCTTCCACTAGACCAGGTTGCTCCAAGCCCTGTCCAATCTGGCCTTGGACACTTCCAGGGCTGGGGCAGCTACACCTTCTCTGGATAATCTGCTCCAGGGCCTCTCCACCCTCACAGGGAAGAATTCCTTCCTAATAACCCATCCAACTCTGCCCTCTGGCAGTGGGAAACCTTCACCCTTTGTTCTATCACTACATACCCTTGTGGTGTGCATGTACAGGCCATGCAGGACCAGAAACATTTTCCTAGAACATTTCAGCATATTTACATTGTACTGGACCCACTGCCCCATTTCCCAGTCAACACTAAGTACATTCACCCTCATTCCAGGAGCTCTCCCCATCCTGAACTGAACCACAGACTGAACTGTGAGAAAATATTCCCTCTCTCCCTGTGAAATCCCTCTGTGGCTCCCCAGCATGGCACTATTCCACTGGAGGCTCAGAAACAATCATGGAATCAGAGAATGGCTTGGGTTGGGAAGGGCCTTGAAGGTCATGGAGATCCTTCAGGAAGAGCAGAGAGACCTTTCACTAGACCAGGGTGCCCCACCCAACCTGGCCTTGGACATTTCCAGGGATGGGACAACAACTGTGGACTCCTCTCATTACAACAAGTTGCTGCTTCAAACCAGCAAACCTTACAGTGCTTGCTCATGGAAAGCTGCCAACCACTGACCTCTGCAGTGACCTCTGGGGTTGCTGGCTCTGCATTCTCCTCCTCCTTCCCAGGGATCTCCAGGGGCACCGCCTGCTCCCTCCAGCCCAGGCTCTTCTGGGTGGCGAACTGCTCGAAGGCCTGCTGGCAGGACATGCGCTCCTTGTCGAACACCACCTTCTTGGTCCTGGGCACCACGTAGAGCATGGGGATGATGGGCCTGGGTTTGAAATCCTCCTCCTCCACCGGCGCCTCCGAGGGCTGGATGATGTTCAGGGGACCCGGGGGCAGGTTCTTCTCCGCCGTGGCCGGCGCCGGGGGCACCGGGGGCACCGGTGGCCGCGCCGCCACCGCCTCGCCCTCTGCCAGCTGCTGCTGCTGCGGGGCTGGGGGTGGCACTGGGGGCTGCACGGGGGGCTGAGGGGCTTGGAGGTGGTGCTGGTGTTGATGGAAAAGGTGCTTCTTCTTCCTCTCGCCCTTCACTTTGGGAGGACGGGCCTTTACTTTGCACTCCCCTGTTTCAAGAGAACAAGGCAACAGTGAGCCCCTGGGCCAAGAGCCAATATTTACTATTTCCCTCCTTTCAACAAAGAGCTCCAGTGCTGGGCTAACCTGTCCCACCATGGCACCATTGCTCTAACATGTCCCATCACTATTGTTCCAACATGCTCCATCATGGCATTACTGCTCCAACCTGTCCCATCATGGCTTTATTCCTCTTATATATCCCATCATGGCATTACCCCTTTAACATGTTCCATCATGGCTTTATTCCTCTAACATATCCCATCCTGCAATTATTCCTCTAACATATCCCATCCTGGCATTATTCCTCTAACATGCTCCATCACGGCATCACTCCTCTAACCTGTTCCATCATGGCTTTATTCCTCTAATATATCCATCATGGCATTACTCCTCTAACCTGTTCCATCATGGTTTTATTCCTCTAATATATCCATCATGGCATTACTGCTCTAATATGCTCCATCATGGCTTTATTCCTCTAACATATTTACTGCTCTAACATGTCCTAGCATGGCTTTATTCCTCTAACATATCCCATCATGGCATTATCCTCTAACATGTTCCATCATGGCTTTATTCTTCTAATATATCCCATCCTGAAATTATTGCTCTAACATGTCCCATCAAGGCTTTATTCCTCTAACATATCCCATCATGGCATTATCCTCTAACATGTCCCATCATGGCTTTATTCTTCTAATATATCCCATCCTGCAATTATTGCTCTAACATGTCTCATCCTGGCATTATTCCTCTAACATACTCCATCATGGATTATTCCTCTAACCTGTCCCATCATGGCATTATTGCTCTAATATATCCCATCATGGCATTATTCCTCTAACATATCTCATCCTCCAATTATTGCTCTAACCTGTCCCACCCTGGCATTATTGCTCTAACATTTCCCACCATGGCATTATTGCTCTTATCCCATCATGGCATTACCCCTCTAACATGTTCCATCATGGCTTTATTCCTCCAACATTTCCCACCCTGGCATTATTCCTCTATCATGTCCCATCCTGGTATTATTGCTCTAACATGTAACAATCCTCATATTATTGCTCTAACATGTCCCACCATGGCATTATTGTTTTAACATGTCCCACTATGGCATTATTGCTCTTATCCCATCCTGGCATTATTCCTCTCTCATGTCCCACCCTGGCATTATTCCTCTCTCATGTCCCACCCTGGCATTATTCCTCTACCATGCTCCATCAGGGATTATTCCTCTCCAACAGGCCCCCTGAGAGCTGCAAACATCCAGCTGTGCCTCAGCACTGCCCTAGAGAAGCCCACACTACAAAGAAAAGACTTGTGTCATTTCTATGGACTATTAAATTCTTGACTGGAGCAGAAAGGCTGCCAAAATGAATGTTTCCTGGAGGGAAAAATATCTAAATCCCTAAGAAACTGGACAGTGTGCCAAAACTCATGTCATTTATTACATTAGCCCTGACTCTGTATTTCAAGTATTTTGTATCAGCAGCCTCCAAAGTTGGGGGCACAAAACCATCCACTGGGGTGCAGGAAGGAAATATTTTTGTACTGTTAACAAAATAAAATATATCTCTAGAGTAGGGTTTCTTTTATCTTTAGGTCTTCCTTTTTTAAATCTCTAATTTTCTCTATCAGCACAGAAATACAAGTGTACCTGGGTATTTCTGTGCTATATATAAAGAAGTAAGTATATAAATAAAGACATACATCAGGAAGTGTGCTCAATTTTTTTTTTTTGCTGATAAGGAGGTGCAGTCAAAAAAGTTTGGAGGCCCCCATTCTGTATCATATTGTGCTAAACCTCTGGTCCTCCCTCTATTTGCAAGCCCAGCTCTTATCTGGGTATTAGTGTGTGTCAACGTGCTCAACAGCCCCAGGAAATGAAGAATTGAACAAAGACACCTGAATCATTATTACCAGGAGATTTCTGCTGTAAAGTCTTTTTAAAAGATGCCTTTAAAGCATAAATCAGGCAGAGCACTGAGCTAAGCCTGTTACAGACACCACCCCAGCACAGGATACTGAGACATCCTTTGCACTGTCCCTGTTTCTCCCAGCTCACTGTCACTCATTTGATCTGTACAGGTCTCTCACATGGCTCTGACAACACTTCTTGAACAGATAAACATCCCAATATCATCATAAAAGGCCCATAAAAGTCTCCCCAGCTCTCTTCCCAATGGAACTGTTATGGGAACCACACACTGGTTTTCCAGCAGTGGTTAAAACTCCTGCTGGCCACTGAGGGAGTGTCTCAGGTTAGGAGAGGAGCTGCCTTCACCTCTTCCCTCTGCCATGAGGTGTGTTCCCACTGCCCAGCTCCTCCCTCACTCCAGGGATGGAGTCAGCAGTTCCCCCAAAGGCAGGTAAACCAGAGATGCTCACAGGCAGAGGACAGGGCTCCACTGAATCCAGAGGAGATTGGTTTCCACCTCCAGATGCTGTGACAAAAAGTCATTTCCCATAACAGGATGGGAGGAAGAGCTGATGACACCCCAATAATGATGTTTCACCAACCCCAACCTACTCAGACCCTTCCACTACTACCCCAAACCTGACCAGTCAAACCCAGTAAATGGAAAACCAGATAAACCATCACACAAAAACCAGGTGTCTGCAGGAGGAAGGGTGAACAACCCAACAACGAGATAAAGTGCCAATATCCCTGCTGAAATCTTCCAGGGAATACCTCAGCCTCAGCATTTCCCAGAAGTCTGCTCTGGGATGACTTTATTTACACTAACTTATAAACATGGGAACAAGTCCAGCCCAAATAATTATAGCTGTGCTTGTGTAGGCAGTCCCTCAGATAAACTGGTTTGTTCTATCACAGAGAAAGGAATATTGAATTTCCTTAGAGAAACAAACCCAGTGAATGAAAGGCAAATTGGATTTCTCCCCAGTTGCACAAAACCAGATCATATTTACTCTCTATACACTCTGAGAATTCTCTCCCCAACAACACCACAAATGCCATTCACCAGCTTTATTGACTTCTAAAGGGCAATTTGACAGCAGCTGGCACGTAGAACTGGGCTTAAAAGTCTTTGCATTAAGATGAACAAACGAGTTTGCAAGGGAATCTATAGAATCAGAAGCCAGGGAAAAGGGAGGTTAAATTCCAAGTGCCTGTCTTGGCTGTCCTGAACATTTCTAGGAAGGAAAGGGATCTGCAGGCACAAAGCCATTGTAGGTTAACAGAGGAAGGTCTTTGCTGTCCTTCCTCGTGTAGCAGAGCTGGAAAACACGTGTGACAATGTGGTGTCATGGGGAGAAGTGTCCAGGGATAATGGGAAATAATGGACAGAGCTCAGGAAAGCTGAGGAGCAGCTGAGGGAGCTGGGATGGCTCAGCCTGGAGAAAAGGGGGATCAGGGGGGACCTTCTGGCTCTGCAGCTCCCTGGAAAGAGGTTGGAGCCAGAGGGGTCGGGCTCTGCTCCCAGGGAACAAGGGACAGGACAAGAGGAAACGGCCTCCAGCTGTGCCAGGGGAGGGTCAGGTTGGACAGCAGGAGGAATTTCTCCCTGGAAGGGGTGCTCAGGCATTGGAAGGGGCTGCCCAGGGAGGTTTGGAGTCCCCACCCCTGGAGGTGTCCAAGGAAGGCCTGGATGTGGCACTGAGTGCTCTGGGCTGGGGGACAGGGTGGGATCAAAGGTTGGACTCGATGACCTTGGAGGTCTTTTCCAACCTCAAATATCCAGGGATTCTGTGATATCTATGAGGGGAAGGGGGTTTGGTGAGGAAATCAAACCCCTTCCATAGGACCCCACACCACAGCTTTGGGCAATGGGATCATAAAAAGATGCTACAGGAGCCTGGAATTCCTCCATTGCAGCAACATCTCCTGGGATGGGGCAGAGACAGTTAGAAATGGATTTCAGCACCAGAGGGAAGGTTTGTAGCCCAGTCTGCAGGACTCTTACCAGGCACAGCACCACAGGCAACACCTGCTGACTCACAGGAGAGATTTCTGCTGCTCAGCACCCCAGGAGAACAGCAGAGACTAAAGACTCTCCTTTCTCGTGTCCCAAGACAACCTGCTAAGAGTTCTGAATATATTAATAGCAACATAATAAATTATGAATGTAAAGCTGAGTCACAAAAACCAAAACAAAGCACCGTTAAGGGATCTGGGTCAGAAATCCTGAAAACCTCGAGTTATAAATACTCAGCTTGTCCAAATAACCAGCACGAAGCACAAGATGTACTTTGAAACCCTGATTACTCTGAAATCTCCTTCTTCCTCCTTTCTCAAGGTCATCTCTACTGGTGTAAACAGAAAATCAAGCCAAATTAAAACCAGAGGAATAAAGGAAGGAAGGGAAGGAGGTTGGGGGGGAGCTGAATTGCCACGAGCAGGACCATCCAAGCAGATGCTCTTTTCTTTTTTCAAGATGAAACCCTAAGACACTTGTGAGAGGCAGCAGGATGTGGAAAGCTAGAGAAGCCATTGGGATTTAATTGCTATATTGCAGTGAGAAAGCTGTATATTTGCTAACAGCCACACCAAGCCTGTTCCAGTGGCACTTGCTGCAATGGTGCTGAAAATCAGCTTTTCCCTCCTGAGCTAAGAGTTAAAGAGCTCTTAAGATGTAGTGGAAGTGTATGATTTGGAACCTATTCAGCTAGAACAGAGTTTTTATTGTTCCTTGGCCATTCTAATGATCTCAGATCTGTCCCTGTCACTTATCTCTTGTCTCCGAAGAAAAATCAGCATTTTTGGGCCATTTATTCCAAGCATCAAGTGTTAAACTTGTACAAGAGCTCAGAGCAGACAATTTAACACACTGCTGCTGCTTCCAGGCTCAGGGCAATAGAAATTAAGTGTCTGCACTGTGCTGCTGCTCTGTGCAACAATGATTCTCCAACCCCTGATTTCCCCTGAAAAGAGAAAATACACTGTCTAGTTAAGAGGCTCTGGAACTGAACAAAGCCCTCGATTCTCTTCCCAGAGCTTCCATAGATTTCCTTTAAGATCATTATCAAGGTTCTCTAAACACTTTGCAGCATCAGTTTCTCCAAGTGCTAAACAAATAATGGAATGTACACAATAGATTAAAATTAATTCACTTCTCCGAGAAGCCTCAAAGAGGGAGTGGATCAGGCACAGCAACCACTTAACCACACACGTTAGGGGGGGAAAAAACAGCTTTTTCCCAGCAAAAATTGCAACTTTTGCTACACAGCCAAGAAAAAAGGTGTCACAGAAAGAGTCTCCTGCTCCATGGGTGAGTTCAGGCCTTGGGAATAACCATGTGCAGGAGAAATCCCAAAGGACTGGGAGCTGTCATGGACTGGTTTTAATTTCAGCCAGGCAAAGAAAGCTCAAAAGCTTCCCTGCTCCAGCTGGACTTGAAGAAACCCAAGTGGGACTCGTGTCAGCAGCTGAGGATCCCTCCCATCCTGAAGCTCCCTGGATTCAGCCTGTGAGAAATGGGAATAAAGGGAGGGAAAGAAGAAAGATGAATTGCACAAGGCAGTGCACAAATCAATCCTCTCCACGAGAAGGACGCAAAAATATATTTTATTTGTTTCCCTACGAAATATTTGTTTAAAATATTCCTCCCGTAATATATATTTTTACAAACCTCTCATATTTTCACGCCTTACCAAGAAAGCTATTGGGACTGAATCCTTAAAGAGAGGGAACAATCAGCTGCTGCTGTGAGGGATGGTGTATTGCAGGGAGCAGGGATTTAATACTGGGAAAAACTCGGCTGATATTTCAACAGAAGTAAACAGCAGCACAAAAGTTATTTACAGAGGTGTTTTTAGAGAGATAACTTGCCCCAGCTCTTCACTACCACCAGTGAGCAGGGCCCTCACCTTCTCCCTCAATCCCTTTGCTTCTCTCCTCTTCCTCCAGGTCTGTCCCTCGTTTCAGCTCCTCTTTTACTTTCACGTCTTCCAGGGCAGTTTCAATGGCCATGACATCCCCGAGAGACTTCTGATCCTCTGTTTTGTGTCTCCTGTGCTGACTCCTTTTTCTGTGAGACCTGGAAGTACAGAAGTGGGATTTGACATGAAAGCACAGCCTTCAATACAGAAAAACCATCACTGACTTAAGAAAGCTGAATCCAAAACAAAAGGATCTTCTTTGGAGTGAAAACACAAGGTAGTTAAAATAGCTACAGGGCAAAGGAGATATCTGAAAGGGAGCAGATGAACCTTGCATAACACAACATTTAAGATCCATTCTTGCAGCCATTAATTGTCTGGGTTTCCTGAAGAGCTTTTTCCCACCATCACTAATGTAAGCTCACAAGCTGCAGTCAAAGCGATTTTAATTGTGGTTTTAAATCTATTTTGCTTGTATTTCAAAATACAGATGAAAACTTGTTTAAATCTCTCTTTCATCCTCTGCCTCCATTCCATTCTTTCGGTTCATTCTGGTCATGCTTCCCTTTGGCAAACTGCTGGAAGTCTGCAAAGCATCATCTCCCAGCTCTGAGACATTACCCAGCACTGCCAGTTCCTAAAAAACACACTATAATGAATGTTCAGAGCAAAATCAATAGGCAGACTATGATTATTCAGTGGTATAATTCACAAGGTCCAAGGCCTTGAAGAAATCTAACTAAAAAATAGGTATATTAATATGATCAGACTAATACTAATGAGCCAATAGCAGTGCTGTTCATTCTTTTTAAAGTCAATGCCACTAAGAAAAAGAGATTGCAGCGGCCACAATGCAAAGGAAAATGCAAATTCAGAAGTCAGGATGATATTTTTCTTGGTTGGGAACAGAAGGAAGCCAAGCACCCACCCAGACACTCCCTCCCCACTGCTCAAGAAGGTCAGGGAGGGAAAACAGGAAGAAAAAAGAGCCAGAAAACTTGTAAGTCAAGACAAATGCAGGTGAAGGAAAGAGGGAAGGATGAAAAGAGAAAGAAATAAGGCCAGGAAATGCACTCACCGTGTCCCCCAGGCAGAGCAGTGCCCAGCCAGGCTCCAAACAACCCCCACCCCAGAAGCCAAACCCCTCCTTCTTCCTCTCTCCCCCAGTTTTTATTGCTCCCCATCACATTTTATGGCCCAGAGGCTCCCTTTGGCCACTCTGGGCCAGCTGTCCCAGCTGGGTCCCCTCCCTATCTCTCACTCACCCCACAGAAGGAGGGAAAATAAAGCCTTGACACTGTGCCAGCAAAACCAAAACCATCAGAGCCTTCTGAGCAGTGGAGTAGCCACAATTCCCAGCAACTCCATCCCAGCCAGTCCCAGTCCAGTGTTTTTACAGAACCCATCCAATAGCTCCTTGAATTTTGGGTTTAAGTCTAACATGCTCTCTTTTCAAAAGAGGCTGATCCAGAAAGTTGTCATTTTTACCCCATTTTTAGCACGTAGACACTTTTTTGGGGGGGTGTGTGACAAACGGTCAAACACAACCACTGCCTAAAAATGTAGAAAAGCTGAAATTCAGCTTCCCATCCTCGGAGCCCAGAAATTCAGCTGCTAATTAGATTTGCAGCACAACAGAATTAAGGGCCCTTAATCAGGTAACTGCCAAAGGAGGGAGAAAAAAAACTTCCACCTGAGATGGAAGATGAATAGAAAAGCAGGTTGATCCATATGCACAGAGATTTCTAATTGCCAGACTCTGAGCATATGGTGGCTCTCCAAGTATAGATGTTGCCTTCACACCTGCAAGACAGTCATTAGCAGGAACACAGAGCTGAACCCAAAAGGATCAGCTTTGCTCTTCACCCATATTCCAAGTCCACATCACCTTCCCTGGAGGGGGAGGAAAGTCAGGTGGGAGGAGAAAATAAAGCTGTGAGACTCTGTCATTGCAGCTGGAACTTTTTTGGTAGCTGCAGAAAGCATCAGAGTGGTGTCAAAGGGTGGTTTTAGGAAAGGGTGTTTTATTCCTGTGGGGTGGAAATGCCAGGCAAAAATGACAGCACAAAGCTTTATACTCACAGGAGATAAAATACTCACAGGAGCCAAAAAAGAAAAAAAAAGATCTTCTGGCAGTGCTCTTCTCACTCTGGAGTTGTGGGGAAGAGAGGCAGGAAGCTCTACATTTAAAGGAAGTGCTTCCAGAACTGCAGGCTGAAGGCTGAGCAGCTTCCCAGGTGAAGCTGTTCTGGGTCTGCCAGAATTCACACACCAGAAATGGGCTGTTGAGGACTGGACTGGACTAAAAACAGTCTCTTGCTGAAGCCACAAAGTAAACAAAGTTGAGTTTTTCAAGGTAACTAAGTCTGACTGACCTTAGAGAAGAAATAACACATCTCTGCAGAGTTTAAAAGCTCCATTTTCCAGGAGAGCTGACAAAAAAGCAGCGTTTGTACTCTTTGAAGAACAGACCACAAAGTGACTTAAATTAAGTAGCTACAACTGTGAAGAGGTTTGGGCAGAGGTGAATCCCTTCCCTCCATCCTGCTGAGAAAAATCAGGCTTCAAGTAAAATGATGTCTTGGAAAGACATAAGCACAGGAGAGAAAGTACTGCTAAGGAGTATTGAACAGCTTCAAAACTGCTTCAGGATAATACTGAAATAATCCAGGCAACACTGAAGAGATAAGGAAAAAATGTACCTGGATCTTTTGCAATAGGCTCAGGTTGAGAGAGAGGCTTCTCTGCTGAGGGAAAATAATCCTTGGTGTTCATACAGTACCTTACACTGTGCAAATATTTATATATATAAGTAACCCTTAACAGTGACAGGCAGCAAAGAGATTCCCAGTTTCCAGATGAGGAAGGAAAAGCTCCAGGGACCCACTGGAGTTCAGTCATTGCCCAGAGAGCACAAATGGCAACTTTCTGACTGAGACTGCACTGCTTTTCCTGAAGCTCATTATAGAAGGAATAGCTGCAAACATCTTAGGAATATAACCTCTGGGGCAGAGCAATATTGCAGAGGTCAGACATCTGCCAAATGCCATATTTATTGGGTCTTTGGGAGCATGGATTTAGTGGGGAATACACCTTTCCATTTCAGCATTTGTAAAATAATACTGGACAAAATACTTCATGTAGGGAGCACAAGTCACAGGAGCCCCAGTCCAGGGCTCACTGGGTGACTGAAACTTCTGGAAGATGAACAGCAGTGATGGAGAAAGAAAGATAACACACTACTAAAAGTGTCTCTTTCTTTGATAAAATGCCTAAATACATCAGCTATCGTCCAGGTATTAGGTTTTTAAATTGTTACTCAGGGTCCACATCAAAGATGGCCCCAGGAACTTATTCAACACTTTTTTTCCTCCTGGATTTCCAAGCAGTGATACTGGAACTGAAATTACCAGCAGAATATTACAAGTGGATGAAGCAACACAGTTTCCAGAGCCTGCCAATGCTCTCAACCAGGAATTCAACAAATGCTAGATGAGAGCAGAAAGAAAGCGTGTGCTGCACTGCAAGTGGAATGAGAAAGATGGAAAAAAATAGGATATGGGAGCATATGGAAGGGCACACACTTTACCTCAATACCTTAAAATACAGAATCTCATGCTTCAAGTAAGCTCGAGGAGGAAGGGAAGTTCTCCCACCACCAGCCAATGTTCAAACCCCTCCAGTTCAATTCTACTCTGAGTCAGCAGCAGCATTTTTATGCTTTTATGAGTTGCCCTCATCCACAACCAGTTATCATCACCCCCCCCGCTAGTTCAGCAGATTAACTCCAGAATGAAAACCAGAGCAGGCACGAGACAGCTGAGGGTCTCCAATGACACAAGAGGTCACAGAAAACTACACCAAACCAAGAGAAACCTCGATGCCCAGAGATTTCCTGTGGCCTTTCAAAGAAGGTGATGTGAAAAAACTCAGGGAAAAAAAGGCAAACACCTCCAAGAGTTACTATTTTAAGAAAAACTTGACAGGAGAAAGAATGAAGTGATTGAAGGTGATGAGGGAAGTCACCTACCGGTGTTTGTTGTCCTCTTCCTCATCTCCTATCCTATAAAAGCAAGATTCCAACAGGAAAAGGTTAGCATGCCAAATCTTCCACTCCAAGCATGCTGTTAACACACAAAACCCACAGACTTGGAGAAAATTAAGACAGATCAAAGGAAGCACAGAAAGGCATGCATAAAATCCCTTTTGCAAACCAATGGGGCTTTTTTTTCTTTTTTTCCCTTCCTGCCTTCTGATAAGTGAAGCTCTAAATGTTTACCACAGACTTTTTGTCTTCCAGGAGAAGATGAGATGTGAGGGGGCACCCGGTGTCCTACTTTGGAGAACGTGTGCTTTTATAACATTTAAAGGGAAGAGAACAATGAGGGACACATTACCCACGACAAATTACAAGAGGTATTGTATAAAGAGAACAAAGGGAGGAGAAAAAAAAAGGGTTTGAACTACCTCAAACTAAGAATTATGGCATTTAAAATCTTAGCAATTAGAATCAAAGGGCTCAGACACGACGACTGTTTTCTCTTTACCTGCGGAGCAATTTTGCCTTCAGCTCTGCCTTTGTCTCATTCCAGGCATCCAGTTCTGGGCTGGTCAGAGCTGTGGGCTTCATGTGGTCCAGGACAGCAATGTCTTTGCCTTGTTTCCATAAATCATATCGTTCTGGCTGCAGGACCCTCACAAACACATCCATGGAGATCTTCACCATGTCCTTGCGGCACGTGCACTGCAAGAGACCCCCCCAACACAGGACACGTCACTCTGAGGGACTTTTCTCACCTCATCAGCCAAATTTTCCCTTTCCCCAGAGGTAAATTAACCCTCCCCAGTGTTGGCTGTAAGGCCTGCAGAGGGTTATTGGGAAGGGTCGATGCTGGGAATCACTTTGATGGGTGTGTGGGTGTTCCAGCTCCATGGAAAGCACCGACTCCACCTGCTCTTGGCAAAGCAGAGGCAGCAAAGCTGCCACACTCTCCAAAGGGAGTTGAAGACTTTTCCCAAGCATTTTGTTCTCCCTCTAAGGCCACCAACAGGCTTTCTGGTGGCTGACACTGCTCATCCACTGTCCTGCAGTCATTAGACAGCAATTACTTTGTCAGATCCAGACCAGGCCAGAGTGTGACCTGGCACCCATGTCCCCTCCATTAGCCTGTCTCTGGCTGAAAAGATATTATTGATATCACTTCATAACTGGGGGGAAAAAAAGCCTTAGAGGAACAAAAGACTAACCTGGAGAACAGGGCAGTTAAACTTCATAATGACACATCATGACATGGCACATCAATCCTGTGCAAGAGCTGAGAAATAAAGCTACAACAAGAAGTCCAACCTGCACCTAAAGCATGTGGGCAGTGGGAGAAAATGGGCATTATTCATCTCAACTGCCCTATGCTCATTAAAACTAACCTGGAACTGCACCCTTGCCATTGCTCAAGCCCACATAAAGCTACTCCCAAGTGGTTTTCCTTGGATATATCCATTTGCTGTGATGAAGCCCAGGGGATTCTCACCCTGGACACCAATCTCAGTCTGAATGGGCATTTAGTCTTTATAAACTAAATCAAAGGAAGGTAGAGGATGGGAAAGGACACAGGAAGCCCTCAATGCCCTCGTGGCTCTGGGGGCTGCAACCACAGCTCTGCTTTTGTGAGCAGCTGAGCCCCTTTTCAGTCCTCCTCTAAGGTGCAAAGCTTGGCAGGGTGTGAACTTGCACCAAATTGAGTTTCAACTTTGAGGTTGAGGTAATTAGAGCCACTTTGCAGGACGGGTTTGGGGTTTTTTTCACCCTTCCTTCACACCTTTTCAAAACAATTCTACCCATTCTCTTCACAGAAATGCCTGAAATTAAACCTGTTTCTCCCTTTCTTCCTTCACTTTTCACCACCTTTATTAAAAGATTTATGGCTGTAGTTAAGAAGCCACTGAGAGAGAGAGAAAAGAGCCTTTCTGGACAGTTCTCCACTATCCCACTTCCTCCCAACTCCTGTTTTCCATTTTGCAAGGACCTCTGGCTGCTTCTGCTGCTCCAGTAACCCAAGTGGGAAGGAGTACTTATGGACAGGAATTTTCAGGAAAATTCCATTCATTTCATGAAAAATAGTGCAGGACAGAAAGGCTGGAAATGCAATTTGGCCAAAGCATGGCAGGAAAACACAGATGGCACCTGTGCTTCAAATTCCAGCCCGGGCAGGAGCTTCCCCGTGGCACCTCCATCAATCCTGGCTTAAGGGATTTGGATTGAGCAGATTTTCAGTTCATTTTTCCTTCAGAAATTTTAAAAGCACCTGTGCAGGGCTACAAAGAGGAACACAGAGGAGCAACCCCAGCACACAGCAGCAATGAGCTCTGGGGATTGACCTCCTCAGCCTCCACAGAGGATGAAAAATGGCTTAAAAGGGGAACACAGGTCCATTTTGTGACGCTGACCCGGAACCAACAGGTCCTCACACATGTCCTGCCTTCAAATCCAGCCCAGCCAATCCCAAGGCACAGGGGTCTAAAGGTCTCCAGAGCAGTTTCCAACCACCAGCAGCTTAAGAGTCTCCCAAAAAGTGAACACAAGGATGAGGGAGAGCCCAGACGCCGAGCTCTCGGAGCGCTGACTCCGTGGGCTGCATCTGCCACGTCCCACCCCCCCAGCGGCCTCTGCAGTAGCTGAATTCCTTTCTTTACACAAATCTACCATGATGTATGTTTATACTTCAATTTTAATTTAATTCTATTGCTTTCACACCAGCAGGCATGAATAATTTACAAAGCCTCTTTCCTCTGGGGCTCCTTCCGGCCCGCACGGTTTTATTTCCTCAGCTGCTGCAGTTGTGTCATATCCAGGTTCCCATCATGGGCAGGAGATTTTTCCATCCCCTCCCCTCAGACAGCAGTGAAATGCTGCTTGGTACAGCAGATGCTTCCAAATACAGCTGGAAAAGGGAATGTGCATGGGGGTGTGAGGGGTGGCAGAGGGACAATGGGGGGATCGGGAGGAGACTGTGGGTAGAGAAGGGCAAGAAATTGCCTTTGCCATTAATTCCCTGCCCCAATCCATTAGAGCAGGACAAAAAGGGCAAGGTTGTGTTTCCTGGCAATGACATCCAATTCCACATATTGCCTTCCCCCTTCCACATACACAGAGTTATATTTCTTTCCAAGTATTTAACTGTGGTCATAAACACACGTATTTCCTAACAGATTTTATGTCTCCACCCCCCATCTCTGTCTATCCCCATCCTAATTTCTGCAGAACAAATCCCTCCATATTCCCTCAAACTCCAACACTTTACTATCCCACTATGATTAAACTTTATAGGAAAAAAAAGAATAAAATTGAACATGTCTACACTTAAACACCATCGTTAGGGAGAGATGCAAAACCTTGTTTTAGTCACATGAGCCAAAAGCAAATCCCAAAGCCCCAGTTTGGGAATTCACAGAATTCCTACGGACCAGCAGCCCTGGGAAGGATTTCAGGGTGACTTGGATCACCCAAAGCACTAAATGAGAACATGAAGGATCCACCTTCCATGTCCAAATGAGAAATTCAAGGAACTCCGGGATCTAATCAAGTCTCATCCCGTCTTTTCTCCGTCCTTCTCCAGTTGGCAGCCAGACCCCCACTCCAGGCTCCTTGGGAGCAGCAGGGCTGGCAGAGCCACAGCTCAAACAACACAGTGAACAACAGAATATTCATAGCTGGCATCTCCAAGGAGCAGCTGCAAGTCCTGAAAATGGGAGTGGAAAAAAAAATCCAAACTAAAAATCGACCCGGTTTTCGAGTTGGCTCTTTGCCTTTGGTCACAGGGGAACAAGAGCAACAAGACAAGGCTTTCCACAGTCACCAAATCTGCAGGAACTTGACTTGCTTCATCTTCTGAAGGCTTTTCCCAACCTCCCCTCTCCTTTTCCATGAGTTAATGCCTTTGCTAACCATGAGCACATGCAAAGGCAATCCAAGCCCATGGAAAAATACTGTAAGGAAATGCACCATTAAGCCCCTTTTCCAACCCAGAAACCCAACATTCTTCTTCTCCTTATTATTTTATTATCTGCTGCTCGAATTTGGAGCCTGTGGTAAAATGTGTGACCACACCAGGAGACCTGTCCCATCAATTCTAACTCCAAGACTGACAGTGGGAAATTTGTGGCTGTTGAAGGCACAACCATTATCTTATTTGCAGTAGTCTCTACCATAAAAAACACAAATAAAATATAAAAAACTGTATAAAATAACAGCCACATAAAACTACCGTCTCCTTGAAGTAATAAAATTAAATGATATATGGAAAAATGCACTAATTCAACTTCAACCACCAGCATTATTTATTTAAGGATATTTCTCTCAATTCCCAGCTATTAACACTAAACTGAACCTCAGCACTTTCATCACATAGAAGAAGTTAATGTAAAATAAGCCTTTTCCATGTGTAGAAATAGTCCCCAAAATTATATATTTGAAGTGGCACCTCTGGCTCTGCTGGAAAAAAAACCTTCTTATTTAGATGAAATCAGTTGATAAGACACAGCTGAGTCTTTTTTGCCTTAATGGAAATTTAAATAGAAAGAACCCCACCAGGCTCAGAGTTGAAGTTCTTACAGCTATTAAATGCCAGAGGAAAAAAAATCTTTGCTTAAAGCTTTTCTATCAGCCTTTCCTAACAATGAAGCCTAAAAGCAAGTTCCTGGGAAGGAGGGATGGTTCTGCTCAAAAGGCAGCTGAGAAACTCTCGCTGTGTGTTACAGGAACACACATTGCTAAGGCAGACAACACTCCTAAGCTTTTCTCCATGCATTTCCAGGAAAAAACAGAGAGTTTCAGCTTTTGGGAGCAACACAGAGTCCTCCCAGAACAATATTCTTAAGCAGGAATCCAGTTTGTCACCATATTCCAGGTGTGTTGTTGAGATCTAGTTCAGGCTCATCCAATAGGACGGAACAAACCAGTTTGGGCTCCGCTTTCCTTTTCCTTCCACTCAGCCTGAAAGATGAATGGCAGGTTTTCTGCAAGGAAATGAGGAGTTAAACTTGGAGGAGAAGAAGGAAAAACCTCAGCTGCAGAGTTTGTGTGTTTAATGGTTGGTAGTTGAAAGCTTGTGGGGAGGAAGATGAGTCTTGACCCCCCGTTTGCAGCGTAATTACCGGCGGCGTCTCAACAACAAACCAGTTCATTAGGAAACCCACTGGAAACCCTTCCCAGAGCTTCATAAACAAAACAATTAGGCAAAGATTTCCATGGACTCCCCCTGGTCCCTGGCTGCAGGGCACACTTTCTCCTTGCCTGCTTCCTTAACGTGCTTCCAGGCAGATTTCTGTGGGCAGGGGAGTCGGGGAAGTGGCAAGTGGGGAGTGAGACTCATCCCACTCCTAATTAGAGGATTCTGGTTTAAGACATGATATAAATGCTGTGTGACTTGTTTCATTGCAGGCAAATAAAATAACAACCCATCCCAATGGGAATCAGGATTCTGCTGGGAGAGGACGTGGAGATTTCTGCTTTTTCCTGTTTGCAACCTCTGCCGGAATTCTTTATGTTTTACCATTCCATTACACCTGTAAGGATGCTCCTGAATCCATCTCCAGGACACACAAGACAAACAGGGGGGCAGGAGGGAGGATCACCTCCACAGGGACCTGAGTTCTGTGTCTCTGAAGAGGCTGGAAGAGCACGGGAGGAGGTTCAGAGCTCGCAGCAGCACTGCAAGAGGAGAAGTCAGTGAAGCACCAGCTCCTTCCTGCTTTGACAGACTCATCCCAGCACAAGGGATAAACAAATTAGGACTTGTATCCAGTGCTTTTGACACAGTCTATAGTTCATCTCCAAAGCCAGATGCCCCTTGGCACAGGAATTACTGGGGCTGGGACTCCTGTGAGGGAGAACCGGAGGGAATCAGCTGCAGGAAGCACGTCCTTCCCATGGGAATTTACTGATTTACTGGCACAGGACACACAACACACACTGCCCAGAAATCCCAGGGAGGGACTGGGACACTGTGCCAGCCCTGCAACATCAGACTCCAGGGATTCAGGGCAGTTTTCCATCCCGGAGAGCAGCAGTTCCCATCCCAGAGAACAGCAGTTCCCATCCCAGAGAACAGCAGTTCCCATCCCGGAGAACAGCAGCTCCCATCCCAGAGATCAGCAGTTCCCATCCCAGAGAACAGCAGTTCCCATCCCGGAGATCAGCAGTTCCCATCCCAGAGAACAGCAGTTCCCATCCCAGAGATCAGCAGCTGGAAAAGCCATGACTAAGCAGCACCAAAAAAAGAGCATCCTTTACACCTTGCAGTAATTAAGCTCAGGTAAATTAGGCTGAGGAGAATTTAAACCTGACCTAGTCTGGTTAAAATAATCTGTCTGAAAGCCCCCAGTTCAGTGCTCAGGGTTAGGCCAAGCTTTGAGCAGGAGGGAGTTGAGGTGCCTGAAGCCACCACTGTCCCCATCCCTGTCCCATTCCCTGTGAACAACGTCCTGAACACTTTATAATATATAATAAATAACAACAGTATATGTCTGGATTTAAACCCAGCCTCTCACATGCCCTTTCTCAAGGGCAGGACATCCACAAGGGCCAGGTACCTGCTGACACTCATCCATCTGCTCCAGCAGCATCCCAAGGACTGGAATCCTGGAAACCTCCAGGTATTTATTCTGCTGACAGAACTCTCAGTGTTCTCCCCTCATTAACAGAAATCATGAGCAGAACGTCCCAGTCAGTCCTTCAGAAGAGGAGCTCAGAAAACAACTCATAACACAAAGCTTCAGGACAGTTCCTTAAAAAAACAACCATCTCCTTTCCACCTCAGCAGGAAAAAACTTGTAAAAATTCCTTTTTATTGCACAGAATCAGTGCTTTGCCCAGAGTGAGGTATTAGGGGTGTTTACAAATAATACAAGAAAATAAGTAGGGAAAAAGGTGGAAGATTTTGTACAAGAGTAACTTTGAATCCATCTGAGAAAAATAAACCATGGAAATGTTATTCCATAATAGATTTTTTTTTAATGTATTCTAAGCTTAAAAGGTCTAATTAGAGTAAAAGAGCAATTCTGAATGTCTGACAAAAATAAACTATGGAAATGCTATTTCATAATAGATTTTTTTTATGTGTTCTAAGCTCAAAAAGGTCTAATTAGAGTCAGTTAAGGCACAAACACAAAGTGATGCAAAAACACAATTCTGATGTCTCTTATTTTTGGGGAGCAATTTTACAGTATTACCAAACAGTTTCTGCAAAAAAACCACCTCACAAATTTTATTTTCTTGGGAAATATTGGTGTTTTACTAAGATCTGAATAGTAAGAAGAAAGCTTCAATTCAGACAACTTGAAAGCACAGATATTCCACACATAAATTTGAGATTATTTCAATAGTATAAATATATATATATATATATATATATTAAAGCAAGGGAGGAGAAGGTTTAGAAGCAATAAGCCATGTAAAAGAGCACAGGCTGAGATCCAAAAGGTCCCTGTTTTGAAGATGCCTTTGTAGATCAGGAAAATCCAAATGGAAAAGTCTTGTTTTCCCCTTCCCTAAATGACTGAGCAGCAGAGCAGGGAGGGTTTTATGGGAATACTGCCTGGGATGAGATAAAGGCTACTTATTTCAGAACCTAAAATGTAAGATTTGGGAAGGAAGGGCAACTTGACCCTATTTTATAACAAATAGATAATTCCAGCAGTATCCCTGGAGCAAAGAGGAGGTAAATGAAGGTATGGAAGTGTTGACAGGAACCCAGAAATTATCCAGGAATGTCTGTGCAGGAATTGTTCCTCTCCCATCCACTTATTTCCAGTCCAGTTTCCAAAAGAAATTGAAAAGCTGACCTGGCAACTTGAATTTCTGCTCAAATTGTACCAAAATTGTATGAAAAGAAAGGAGCTTTTTGTACAGCAGGAGATTTAGAGGCCACCTCGACTTGGGGAAGGACATTTCACTGAACCCCTTGGGCTTAAAAGGGTTGTAAGGTCAAAGACACAGCTTCCAAAATCCTCTGGGGTGCCATCCAAGGGTCTTCAGAAACAAAAAAGCAGGAATGCAGAAAGGAATGCAGGTTCAGGGTGCAAAAATAAAAAGAAATAATTAGTTCCCCAGAAACTCTGCAGCCACTGTTATTTTTTTAGCTAATACTGACAATTGTTCTACAACTGGAGCAGAACCAGCGCCTCAGAAGCTGATCTTTCCACTTCAGGCTGGTTATTCTGTATTTTTTACAGCCTGGGCAGGTTCTCTGTGGTCAGAACATTCCACCCATCTGGCAGGGAATTAGCACAGTTTCTCCAAGGTGAGCCATTCCCTTCTCTCTCACACCACACCACTGACGTGCATCGCTCTCAGGAGAGCAGAATCCAAATTTCCTCCCCAGGATGATGTCCAGGAGAACAGTACAAGTGGTTAATTATGAACCTTGCCTTGTCACCAGTCTCAGAAGTGCTGGCAGGACAAGAGAGCCCAGCTGATCACCCAAGGAATGGAGGGAATCACCTCCAGCCAGCTGGTTTAGTGCAGGAACAGCAGGTTCCTGCAGAGCTTTGCCCAGCTGAGACTCCCCAAGAACTTGATCAGGGGGTGTATGACCAGGAAAAAACCAAACCTGCTGGATGTGGGCAAGGATAATCCAGTTCTGCCTGAGAGCACAGAAATCACACACTGGAGGATCACAGAATCCCAGAATGCTTTGGCTTGGAAGGGACCTTAAAGGGACATTACACTTGTAATATCTCCTTCATTTTTTCTTCTATCAACTCAGCTTGAGTCTGTAACTTTTGTAATGCAGCTTAATGCTTTCTTGTTCTCCTAAAATAAGCAGATTTTATTGTTTTATTGGGCCCTTAAAGCCCATCCAGTCCCACCCCCTGCCATGGGCAGGGACACCTTCCACCAGCCCAGGTTGCTCCAAGCCCTGTCCAACCCGGCCTCGGACCCTTCCAGGGACTGGGAGTCCACAACCCCTCTGGATAATCTGCTCCAGGGCCTCACCACCCTCCCAGGGAAGAACTCTCCATGAATTCTCTCCCCACAAACACCAGGCAGCTCCAGTTTCCACCCTCAGCTGGTATTTCATTAAGCCCCTGTTTAACTCCAAATGAGACTGAAACAAACCTTTTGCCCTCAGAGTGTGACAACACTCACACCTCACCTGGAGCACAACACCCAGCCACCCAAGGGTTAATTAACCCCTGATCTGAGCAATATTAACCAGAAAGCTCTGGCACTGAGTGCAGGGGGAATAAATTGGGCATCTCCTTCCACACTTCCCCTTCCTCTGCCCAGCTTTGCTCAGAGCTCTCGCTGCTGCTTGTTCAGTAATTTCACGCTCCGCTGCTCGACAATGGGAGCACGGAGGCTCCATCTAAAACTGCACTTCCCAAATGTCACTTTGTTTGGGAACACATGGCTGAACCCAAAATTGCTTTTAATATTCGAGCTGGAGCTGCTGCAGTGAAGGGGCTGCCCGAATTTCCCTGATAAAAGCCCAGTTTCTGGGGTGTAATACCAGGACCCTTCGCTGCAGATAAACCTGCCAGACAAGGTCACAGCACACAAAAACCATTCTTTACATTTCTAAACCAAGTTTGCTTGGCTGTTTTTTGAGTTTAAGGTTTTTTTTCTTATGGTTTAAGGTTTTTCTTACCCTTCCTTTAACTCCAGAACAAATTCAAATGGAAGACCCATCCCTGGAAGTGTCCAAGGCCAGGCTGGACAGGGCTTGGAACAACTTGGACTAGTGGAAGGTGTCCCTGCCCATGGGAGGGGGTGGGACTGGGTGGGCTTTAAGGGCCCAATAAAACAATAAAATCTGCTTATTTTAGAAGAACAAGAAAGCATTAGGCTGCATTACAAAAGTTACAGACTCAAGATGAGTTGATGGAAGAAAAAGAAGTGAAGGAGAGATATTACAAATGCCATTCTAGGGGGAAAACTGAGTCTTTCTTTCTGCAAAGGAACATTTAAGGCAATTTTCAAGTGCCACCCCTTCTGCATTCATTCCTCTTTTGCCCTGTGTGGAACTGATCCCTAATTTAAAAATTCACAGATTCATTGAATGAGCTTTGCTGATCAGACTCCAAAACAGGAGAATGCAAAACCAAAGTAACAAAACATAACAGAAATTTGCCCTAATGAGAAATAACCACATATTTCAGCCTGACTCTCCTCTCCAAATGTAACTTGAGTGCACAGATTAGAGGAATCCAGGTATTTTCAGAATGTTATTACCATAGTCTTATTAAAGCTTAAAAGTATTTCCAGCTTATTCCTTCCCCTCCAGTGTGCACCTAATGAGTTGTACTCGGTTACATCAGTCACCCCACTCACTGTGAAATGCAGTTTGGCTGCATCAGAAAACTAATTCTGAATTACCAACCTGCAAAGCACCTGCTCACAAGGTGTTTGTAACACCCAGCAGCTCAGAAAGTCCTCACTACACCCTCAGAATGACAGGAACCACCAACAGGAATAAAACAGCCACGGGACGGTGACAGAGCACATCACAGTGGCACTTCCCATCTTGTCCTTAGGTCTCCCTCTCTCATTCCTCTGTATTTCATGAGCTGGGGGTTTTAAATAACACTTCATCCCAACTGACACCTACTTGAGTTGCCATTTTTCCATAGTCAATCCATCTCAAAGTGGCAAAGTTGGTGGACTCGGCACAGTTGAAGCCGTGGTTGAAGCCGGCGTGGTATCCATAAGGGAATGTGATCATGAACTCTCCAGCTTCCTGGGTGATCTGGAAAACAAAGGCAAAAGGAGGAGACACCCCACAGGTCAGTTAATGTACAGAACAGAGACCTATTAAAAAATCCACCAGTTAAATCTCTTTCTTTCAATCCGGAGGTCAGCGGGACAGTCACTGCCAGCTCCCGGTTAAACCTGGAATAATTCCTGGACAACTGCAAAAATACTGAAGTATTTCTGCTAAGGAAAAAACCCAGAACAGTGGATGGAAAGGGCACAAGCTCTGAACTATTTACACCCACAGGTTCTAGTTAAAAGGCTCTCAGGCTGCAGCATTCCAAGAGATCAATAAATCCTCAGACTGTGACAACTTTGGCTCATGGCAGGTCCAAACCCACACTCCCACCACCAGGCCAGAGGAGCCAAGAACTCTGGATTTCCCTCCTCTAAACAGCAGGGTCCTACTGAAGCACCTCCTGCCTTTCCCTGGATTTATTCCCCCACTCACATTTATCAGCCTCACTCCCATTTGTTCACCCAAAAGTCAAACACCTTAAAAATTACAGCCCATCATTTGTCTGCTTTGGAAGTTGTCCAGGGAAGCTGTGGCTGCTCCATCCCTGGAAGTCTCCAAGGCCAGGCTGGAGCAACCTGGGATGGTGGAAGGTGTCCCTGCCCATGGCAGGGGTGGAACTAAATGGTCTGTAAGGTCCCTTCCAACCCAAACCATTCTGTGATTCTGCTTTATTAAAATTAAACAACAATAAGCATTATGGCCATCACTGAAAAGAGTTAAACTCTACAGCTGGAACCAGAGGCCAAATAAATTTGTGATGCTTCTAAAAAAAATCCTCTTTTTACATCTTATGCAGAGAAGCCATTGGGGAAACAAGGAATTTAATTGGTAAAAGTTTGGAATGACTCCTGAGGGCAAACTGGATGTACCAGAGTGGGCTGGGAGCAGCTCCCCAGCTCAGCAGGTGTGTGACAGTACCTCCCTTCCATGGATTAGCAAAGAGGCAAAGCTTGACCTTCCCTGCCTTTCCAACCCAAAGTGCTGACAGAGCTTTCACAGCAGTCACATGCCAGGCAATTCCATTGGGATCCCTTCCCACCGGCCATAACTCACAGCCCAGGAGCTCGGAGATTCCAGAGGACTTGCACTTCCAAACACAAGGATGGGCCCAAATGGGAAATGGAAACAGAGGGAAGTTCAAACACTTTTCACTTGGCTGGGCCAACATCTGAACTTGCTGATGTCATTAACATTCACAGAATAATTAAAAAATAGGTACTAAAATCTGCAGTGATAACACAAGAAGCTCCTGCAGGATTTCTGGATGAGTTGCTCGAGTCCAGCCTTCACCCAGAGCATCCCCCCACCCATCCCCTCCATAAATCCCGGCAGAGCTACAACTGTAACTCCAAAAGACACAAAGATTATGTTTCTGTCAGTAAATCTCCATCCTGGTGTCTTCATTTCGAGCCCACAGTGTGTGTCAGCCCTGGCACTGCTGTCAACATTAGCCCACAATAAATTAGAAAGCCCTCAAGATGATGGATAGGCCATGCAGAAAAGTAATAACTAGTGAAGGAGAGCCAGCACAAACTGCCACTCATGGAGAAAGCCCCAAATTTACTGACTCCTGCAAGCTCTTGAGGAATAAATGGAGAAATCAATAGGAGATTACAGAAATACACATTTTTAATTATTAAAAAGCCCTCGCATTGATCTGGGTCTTTTTTTTTTCCAGAACACCATTCTAGGGATTTATAAATGCTGCCTATTCACTTCATTGAAATCTGCCAGGAATTCAGATGGAGGGATCCTATCTCTATTCCCAGAGAAAAAAAATGGCACTTGTTCCCTGTTGGTGAATAACAGTGATCCTCCTCCAAAAGCTCCTATTTCAGGACAGGAGGTTTCAGACACAGGTTGCTCATACTGAAGAGATCTCCTCCTTTTTACACCTAAAAACAGCTTTCCAGGGCAGTAATTATCATAAAAACACATTATAAATCAGGATTAGGAGTTATATTTAAGTAAGATGCTCTAATAATTATATTTAAGTATATTTAAGTGACACGCTATACTAATTTTATGTAAGTATATTTAAGTCATTTGCTTTAAAAAAGGAAGTTTGGTGTTGACATTAATATTGTCCTCTGTGTACACTGGTCTCTCCTTTATTTTGGTAAAAAACAGGAAGACAAAAAGCAGATTTTTAGCATTAAGACAACTACTTACACCCAGCATGAAGGAGACACCAGCCATCAATCTGCAAACATCCTTCATGTCACAAATCACAAGATTCAGAGAGGGACACCTCACTCACCAGGTGAAGACTTTTTACCAACCAATAAATTGGCAGCTCCCTTATTTAAACCACTTTGTAGCCCATCCCTATCAAATACAGCTCAGCAAAGATGACTTGGAATAAGTTTGGAAGGAAAGTTTTTCCTTCTATTGCCTTTTTTTTACAAACTCCTTTGCTGCCCCTGCTTGGTTATTGATCAGAAATCACTTAGTGATTATATTTATATATAAATATAAAATCACTAGTCAGTGCTACTTTCCTCTGACAAATGGAAAAAACAAATATATAATAATGTTTATTCTGGAGGAAAATCTGCCCACCTAGAGCATGCAAACATTTTAAGTCCTGCAAGAACTTCCTTCCCTTTCCGACCTCTGGCACAGCCAAGATCCTCAAATTAGATATTTTCATTACTATTTTCAACTCTGTGGAGCAGGTACCTGTATTTTCCCACTTGGGAATCAGGTTCCACTGATGGAATTACAGGAAAAAATGGTTTGTTGTTCTCTGTGAACAATTTAGTATCAACTAACCAGGCCAAGTCCAGGCACTGATGTTGAACCAGAAGCACCACATTGGTCCATGGAAGCTCATCTGATGAGCCAGATGATCCTATTTCAAATTTAATTCATCATAACCCCCCCCAGGAAAAATCAAACAGTCCCTGGAGCAGTGAATTGAATGAATTCATAGGTTTTTTATGCTATAGAAGAGCCAAGATCTTTTACTTCCATCTCAAAGAATCAGCAGGCTCAGCAAAGAGGTCTCAGGTGGATTAACTCTGACTAAACTCTGCCTAAAAAATAAAATTAACAGAATGTGAGAGTTCTTGGGAAAATCTGGTCATATAGAGGTGATGGTGCAAAAGGGATGGGGAAGGGTAGAGAGGGACTTTGGACAAGGGATGGAGGGACAGGACACAGGGAATGGCTTCAAAGTGAAAGAGGGGAAATTTAGATGGGATATTGGGAAGGAATTCCTCCCTGGGAGGGTGAGGAGGGACTGGG